GCAATGAATAACCATTAAAACTGTTGGAGTGTAAATTCCTGTCTCCATAAACCATGTTAACCGCATTTTTGCAATGAATAACCGTTAAAACTGTAGAAGTGTAAAGTGTAAATTCCCGTCTCTATAAACCGCGTGTTTGCAATGAATAACCGTTAAAACTGTTGAAGTGTAAAGTGTAAATTCCTGTCTCCATAAACCATGTTAACCGCATTTTTGCAATGAATAACCTTTAAAACTGTAGAAGTGTAAAGTGTAAATTCCCGTCTCTATAAACCATGTTAACCGCGTGTTTGCAATGAATAACCATTAAAACGTGTTAACAAAAAGAAAATAGTAAAATAAATAAATAAACGTATTTCAGTGACAGCCGTTTTTCTTAATTTCAACAAATATATGTTATCAAATTAAAAGTTTCCTGCTGATAGAATCATTTTTCTTTAAGTATTCAAGTGGTTTGAAACAGGAAGGATTTTAAATGTCTAAATTACATTAAATGAGAAAATTCTTGCCAGTCAGAAAACTACGTGTGTATTTCTATTTAAAACAAACGAACGATTTAGCCTGCTTGTCGAGGAGTTGGCCTGCAATTAGCTCGCAGATGTCAGTAAAGGATTATTGTAGCGAAATGCGCTGTCCAAGTTTTGTTGTTTAAAGCACTCGACACTATAGTTTTTTTTTGTTAGCCTGGCCTAACATGGTTTGGTTGGTAGAGCACTCGACACTATAATAGTGTTTTCCTGTTAGCCTGACCTAACATGATTTGGTTGGTAGAGCACTCGACACTATAATAGTGTTTTCCTGTTAGCCTGACCTAACATGGTTTGGTTGGTAGAGCACTCGACACTATAATAGTGTTTTCTTGTTAGCCTGGCCTAACATGGTTTGGTTGGTAGAGCATTCAACTCGTAAACTGAGGGTCGTGGGCGCGAATACCGTCCCCGAATATGCTCGCCTTTTCAGCTTTGGGGGCGTTATAATGTGACGGTAATTCCACTATTAGTTGGTAAAGAGTAGCCCAAAAGTTGGCGGTGGATTATATTGATTAGCTGCCTTCCGCATGTATCTCTCGAGTAGCTTTGCGCGAAATTCAAAAACAGACCTGTTAGTCTCTGAGCTAATTGTTTTATGGCTGATGTTTGGCTACCATACAACATTTTGTGTAATGTCTTTTGCGCGGCATTGTTGGAAGAATTTGGTTCTTGATGTTGCATTATGGAAGAAATCGTTCAGTTGAGACACAGACTGACGTCTGCTGCACTTTACAAGCCTATCCTATCATATTTCTTTTTGGTTTCTCATCAACGATTGACAAGCACTGTTTTTCATATTAATAGATTTTTCATATTTGATTGTTACAGTTGATCTAATATTACAGACGTATCTGTCACTGAAACAACTGGTTTCTAATAACAACGCATCTGTCAGACAAACATTAACATGGGCGAGGGGGGAGGTGCATGGCAAGGTGGTTAGGGTACTCGACTCGCAATCTGAGGATCGCGGGTTCGAATCCACGTCTCACCAAGCATGCTCGTACTTTCAGCGTTGTGGGCGTTATAATGTGATGATCAATCCCACTTTTCGTTGATAAAAGAGAAGCCCAAGAGGTGGTGATGATTAGCTGCCTTCCCTCAAGTCTTTCAACGCTAAATTAGGGACGGCTAGCGCAGATATTAAACATATGTATTTAAGGTATTAAACATATTTATTTAAGGTATTGCTCCCGAGAAAGAGATTTCTGGTTTATTTGTGTGTTATTCAACACAAAGCTACACAATGGACTATCTGTGCTGTGCTCACCACGGGTATCGAAACCCGATTGGTAGCGTTGTAATCCTTCAGATTTACTTTTGAGCCACTGGGGGGGGGGGGTGACAAAGGCAACACTTAGAAATTGATTCACCAGAAATAAATGAACATTTTGGTATCGAGAAACCTCGGTTCACCGGAGGGGGAAGGAAGCACAACCGACCCGAGTAATCCAGATTTCACTTCACAGACAGCTATACTTTAGACCATTAGACCGTAAAGCTTACGGACATTGATGTTATAACGCACGTGTACACCGATATATTGATTACACAATAAATAATCTGTTTAATTAAGTACTGAAACGAACAATACTTTTAGCTGTTGTTTCTTTTAGGCTTGATTCATGGTAATTATTAGCGATATTTTTTTTCCAGTTTGCTATACACTCTTTATTGAATCATACAGTAGACCTAGACCGCTTACGTACTAGCTATTCAAAGTTTAATGGCCACCGACATGTCTTTCATTCAATATAGAATATAATCAAAAAAAGAAAACGATTTTTCATCAAACTTTTCCGTTTTTTTGTTTGTTTTTTCAACTTTGTCAGCTTTCCACGGCTTCTAAAATACTTTGTTTTCTAAGTGCTTATACTTTTAAAATATTATTATAATGGCCATTTTTATTGGAAAGCTTAATACAAGATTAACGGTAGTTCATTCAGATAGTGTATTTTTTCCCGTAGACATTCTCTTGATGATTCGTTTTAACGTTTTATAGTTAACAAACTGATTTCATTGCATCAGTATTGGTATGAATATAGCCTCTCATACTCGGTGTTCTATAAAGCAATTGAATACTAGTTAACAAACTGATTTCATTGCATTAGTATTGGTATGAATATAGCCTCTCATACTCGGTGTTCTATAAAGCAATTGAATACTAGTTAACAAACTGATTTCATTGCATCAGTATTGGTATGAATATAGCTTCTCATACTCGGTGTTCTACAAAGCAGTTGAATACTCGCTGTATCTCCATTTCAATGGCATTCAGGTTAATATCATGGAAACTGATACGGCTTTGTTAAAAGTATCTAACTATTACTGTAGAAAGTGGCTGGACTTTCACGTGCAGTTTATTTTAATCTAATAGAGCTAGGGGTATGAGAACATTTTAAATTAACATTTGAAGTAATGACAGTTTCTTTTCACCCCGAAAATTAATCAAATATGGATATCGAAAAGAATAATATATAATGTAAACATTCCATGTATGATTGATATAATGATATTAATAGCCATAAAAATAGTTGAAACTAGGACTTCTAGCAGTTTGCTTGAAAATAAGTAATTGTTCTCGATAGTTCATACTGTATTGTTAAACTATTCAATATTAATATGTAATTAATTTGTAATGTTTATTATTTAGTACTTTGTGCTTGATTTCTGGCTCGGCAAATGTGAAAGATCACGTAGCACTGCATGTAAAGCACTGTTAAATTAGGAATTATTCCATTAAGAAAACTATCCTTTAGTACGAAATGCATTTAATGTACAGAAAATACAGCAACATTAAATACGAAGGGTAATATAGTTCGTTGAATCAGGTGAAACTATCCTTCACTACGAAATCTATTTAATGTATAGAAAATGCAGTAAAATTAAATACGAAGGGTAATATAGTTCGTTGAATCAGGTGAAAACTATCCTTTAGTACGAAAAGTATTTAATGTATAGAAAATGCAGTAAAATTAAATACGAAGAGTAATATAGTTCGTTGAATCAGGTGAAAACTATC